TCAGACTCACACAAAGCACGTTGTGCTGAAGGGCGGAGCCTAGCAATCATTGGGTTCGGACGAGCTCTCGCGCCGGTGTCGTGGCTTCGACACGTCGATCACTAGTGCTTGGGTCTGTGGTGATATTTAAAGAAATTTCATTCTATTGTAGTTGTTAAAAATTCGTAGAAGTGGACCAGTTCCTTTTCGAGGAAGCCTATCATATAGTCGAAAGAGTATGAATTTTGACTCTCAAAGTTTTCAGCAGTGTATACCTGTTTGGCAAAACTGTAAACCTGTGGTAATTGACTGGAATGTCATTCCGTAGAAAGCTTATTGAATTACAATGGTATTTTCGGGCAAGGTGAGCTTTGGATTGCATATTTTTGCATTCCAAATTTGACTGAACTTTCTCTGCTTTCTTCATCAGATTCCGCACGGCGATAAGTTCCATTTCAGATTCAGTCGCGTGCTGCTTTTTGGAGTGTTTTTATTTCTAGTTTTCTTCGTAATGGTTTATATGCAGGATCGTAACAAAGTAAGTCTTGGCTAGCACACTTTTCTTGTTTCTATGTGTTGCTTGTATTTCCACCATTCAGATCACGTTTTCCACGAATGATGTTGCTGTTAATAATCCGCTTCCTGAAGCGTGGAAGGATAGTGAGTTGGCTGGAAGTGTGGATCCAAACACAGTTTTTGTTGGTGAAGAACTAGGCAATTATGAACCCAAGACACCGGAGATGCCTTCCAACCAGCCGGGTAAATGATTTCTATTTGTTAAAGTGCCAATGTTTTTAGGCTTTTTTCACTACGGATTTTTTTTCTGTAATTATACTCGATATCCGGTGAGTTGGGGTAGGTGTGTCACCGGAAGTGACGTGCACTTGATAGAAGCTATGTGGATAAGCTGCTTCCAACATACATCGCTGGATATCAGCAAAGCATGCTGGCAACAGCTTATCCACGCAACTTCTATCAAGTGCACGTCACTTCCGGTGACACGCCTACCCCAACTTTCGGATATCGACTGTACATATACTTTTGGATCATTTTAAGCCTTGTCGGGCGCGAATAGGCGCTAGTGAACGAATAGTTGGAACACCGCGACGCAGGTACCCAACAAGGAATTTGAAACCTTGCAAACATTTCCATTTCGTCAATACTTAGTTCCTTCTTGATAACACTGTCTGCCGCATCCATGTACTTCCTCACCGGCTGCCAAAAATGCGGAATACTGTACTACGATTAGAACTGTCTCAAGCATCCTTAAATCACTTTAGTTGATGTGGTTACACGATTTTGTCATTCCCACGACTCTCGCGGTATGCTTCATTGGATCCCGTTAGAACAATCAAGTTATAACTTATCTCCGTGAAGTGTTCTGCGTTGGAAGTTTAGAAGTGCAGAGAAGCGAACATCGATTTGAAAGTGCAACCTTCTTTTTGTTTCCTTTTGTGGGTCATTCCTGGTTCCGTTGGAGATTAGTTCACTTGACGTGCGCTGCGCCAAGAGTTCCCCTTTATCAATGGGGCAGATCTGTACAGCATTTCAGAGTTTGCGATCTCGCCAGCGACCAACAGCTAGTGACCCACGTCATTACTCAGTGGGGGCCTAAATCCTTTGTTAGTTAACACAGGCAACAATACGTGTTTTGCTTTGCCAGCGCGGCCGCGTCACCTCATGAATTTACCAGAACATAAATGTTACATTCTCACTGCTGAATGCGATGCAATTGTCTAGAGGTATATCTGTAAAATTTTGGCCAAAGTAACGTTTAATGGCTATAAAGAATTATTAATTTTACTGCAGTGGACGCAAAAAGCATTTCTGCCGTGGTGGTCTAATTGTAGTAAAAACACATACCATCCTTACTATCCTTTTACAACATCCTTTTTTACATGTTTATGGAAATAAAGGAAAACGAAGGATACCGAGCTGAAATCTTCGTACGGTTCAAAAATATTTTCCAGATTAAAGCGTAGTTGACCATTCTGTGAATCATGTTGTTTGTAGTCATGAATAATGCTACTCAGAACAAATGCCAAAAATAAAAATAAGAAGTCACATATGGCGAAAAATGGGTGGCATGGGTGCAGCTTGCTAGCGGTTCGCAATAGCGAAGAAGAAACACGTAATCGCCAGTAATGGCCACTGGAGCATGTGTTATATTCATATTTACCCTTTCTTTTCATGTCTTTTAATAAATGGCTACTACCACTGGAACGTGGCCTTTTCTCCGCGGTAGTTTTTAGTCTCTCCCACGCCCTCGAACCATCACAAGTAATTCTGGTGTAGGTTCTGAATCAAAAGTGTCTGCACCTCACAACTATCAAAAGATAAGCTGCAGGAGTGAAAATGCACCGTGATCCTAATCTTGCTTCGGGAACATAATGTTGGCGCACTTTTTCTATATTCTTATTGTGTGAGTTCAGGTGAGGGCGGTGCACCGGTGATTATTAGTGATCAGAATGGCTTGCGAGAGTCGAAACGAGCTGAACAAGAGTATGGATTCAACACGTATGTCAGTGACATGATCTCCATGAATCGCACTATTCCTGATATACGAATGGAAGAGTAAGTTCTCTAGTCCTATTAATTTGTGTGGGTTTTTGTGAGAGAAAATGTAGGCTACTAGTTCAATCTATTTCAACACGGCAGGGCGAAGGGGGGGGGGGGTAACAGAAAAGTCGCCTCCCTCTCACTCAAAATTTACGTCAC